TGACAGTGCATAAGATAATATTACATAATGTTTAAAGACATAAAAAACAATGCAACTGCTTATGTGGAAATACAGAAAATGTGAAGAGCATCAGGTGGATGGGAGCTGAAAATGCCAACGTTTGAAAAATAAATTAAAAAGAAAACACAACAAAAATATCCCATTGAAGCTGCTATTCAAACTTTTAATCTTGCTGTAATAACATGATATGAATAACCCCAATGTGTTTGAGGATAATAAGGCACTGTTATTCATCTTTTTTTTCTTTTGTTAACTTATTTGCAATATTAAACAACGATGTGCTACTTATTTTACCATTTATTTTCAAAACGGGTGAGAAACGTGGAGCAAATGTGGAACAGAACTGTTATTTGACCTGTATGTGCTCTATTTAAGCTAAATCGGCTGCATGATACACAGCGAGTGAAAACTTGAGCACAGGATGGACTGTCAAAATGTACCAGGGTGAAAAATAGTGCAGAAGCATCTTGTTTGTACTTGTTACAATATGCTCTGAACTGTGGTATTGTTAAATTTACATTTTACGTGTCGTAACAGGTCACATTAAAAAAGGCAAATAGAGACAATATTGTGGATTTACAAAGGAAAAAATGATGTGCCACGAATCAGGAGTTGGTATACTTGTAAGTCATGTTGAAAAAAAGAAGAAAAAATGGAGAGAGGCCATATCATTTCATTTTCAAAGCAAAAAAATTCAACGTGACATGAATTTATTTAGGCCAAAACATACTGTTATATTTATATAAATGTAGATAACATTTTGATGGAGAATATATAAGCCAAGCTGCACTAAATTTTACTTTGTTAAACATATTGTTTAACATTCTACAAATTGTTTTCTAAACAAGGCCATGTGTTTGAATTGCATGGTAATCCCCCTCCCAAAAATGTTGCTGTTGTCAGATCTATGAATGTGTGAGAGTAGCTGAGCGAATGTGGAGAGAGAGAGAGGCTGTAAATTATTCAAGACTCTAAAAGAGTTCAAGTTTAAGTGTTAATAACCTAGTAATATTAGATGAGAAGTGATGCATCACTGTTTTGGTACAGGAAGTTCTACCCTTCTGCCTCTGTAACTTTATACCAGCATATTCACTTTCATTGTCGCGTAATACTGGTAAGTTTGAACCAGAAATGCCATTTACTCCAAGGAAAATGTCTTTAGGGGGGTTCTTCGAGAGGTCAGAATAAAATTGTCCGGAGCAGTTGGTTTAGCTTCCTACAAAAGTGAATTTATATGCTTACCCCTTTTTACAGTTCTAATCAAACTTAAATCGTGGGTAGTATTTTCAAAACCACTAGATTTTTTCTTTATTTTTTTGGTTGTCTGTAAAACATTTTTGTTTGGGTTTTGAACTTGTGTATATTCTTTTTATAACAGAAAAGGTGTTGAAATTACAGTGTATTTATTTATGGAGAACTGTAGTAACAAACTACATTGCTGTTATATCTGTTAGTAGTGCTTGGTGACAAAGAAGTAACATTCATGACTACCTGCAATAAATGAATTGGTTGGTTTTGACAATACTTATAGACTTTATTTTTTTGCACTTCAGTTGTTTACTTTGCAAGAAAACTTGGGAAGAGCCCAGGTTTTAGATTCCAACCTAATTAGTCGTGACCTAATTGTCACTCAATTTGTAGCAATCATCAATTCAAAGCTTTGTTCAAAGACTGGAATTGCCTGTACTGAGACTGGAATTGCCTGTACAGATATGAAATGAAGTCCTCATCAGCCTGTGTTTCAGTCCAGTTTTCTCTAAGCACCAGAAAGGTGTATTCAAGATGTTGATATGATTCTATATGTGTGTGCTGCAGAGAGAGCACAGGTGATACTCAATACTTCGAATAGTGAACATGTTTAGATTTTGCTTTAAAACTTAATAAGTAACAAAATATTGGAAAATAAAAATCAAAGGTTGCGAACAGTGTGATTTGTTTTTCCTGACGTGCTGCTGCCTTAGTTACTTATAAATCATCCAAACTCTAGCTTTCAGATTTGTTTTACACTGAAAATGGGCAAATTGGTGACATTTTTATGTACAGACACAGATGTGTCTGTATATATTGCCATCACCTGCTTCTGTCGTTGCCGTCGCTGTCGTCGTGCACTTTCAGCGTTAACATGATAAGTGGAAGACGGTTATTAATCATTATGTAATGTTGCATCAAAATTTGAAGAAACGTAATTTAAAGCATAATTGCAGAAAAATTTACCAAACAGACTGCATTGCCTACTGAAGATATATTTTAGTCCCATGTTTCTTTCCTGTAAGTTTGAGAATAGTATGTGACGTTCTTTCTTAAATGGTCATCATGAGAGCAGTGCCTAAAATAGGGGTTTCTTCCAATTTTGATGCAATATTACATAATGTTTAATAGCATAATTACCATCAATTTTTAATGATAAAATATTAATATCATGGATATTCAGAAAATGTGACTAGCAAAGGTCTTCAGACCCATGGGACTTCAAAGTCACACCTTGTAAATGCCATGTTCTGAAATGTTTTTTTTTTCACTTTAAACAATATTTTAACATAAAATAGCATTAACAGTTTACTGCCATTTTTATATGACCAACTAAGACAATTGATGAGATGGGGAAAATATCAACAGAACAGTTTTTAATGTCCAATTTTCTCCATTCTGAGATTCTGAACGTAGTGAATGATTGAATCTGACAAACTGCAATGATATGAGTTCATTTCCATTTTTGAAACTCTATTACACAATACACGATAACAAGTTTACCATTATTTTTACATCATCAACTAACAATGTTGTAAAGATCGGGAAATGTCAAACAAACACTTTTACGTATCTTATAAGTTAAATAAAGAGACTGCTAACATGCCTAAAAATTGAATCTGAGGAAATGTGAAAAAACAGCATAACTTCTAAAATGCGTTTTAGTAAGATTGACCACTCCTGTGAGTTTCATGACAATTGGCCTATCTGTTTTTCTTATATTGTGTTTACAGTGTTGCATACATGCTGAAAAGTGAAAAAAAAAAAAAAAAAACGGCATAAGTACTCAAATAGTGGCCCGATCATGCCGATTTTGGAACTTGACCTGTGTTTAATAAGATTGATTACTCCTGTGAGTTTCATGACAACAGGCCTATCGGTTTTCCTTAAAATGTGTTAACAGTGTTGCATATATGCTGAAAAGTGAAAAAACAGCATAACTTCTACAATAATGGCCCGATCATGCTGATTTTTTAACTTGACCTGCGTTTTATGAATATTCATCAGCTCTGTAAATATAAAGCCAAAAAGTAAAGCTGTCTACCACTTATCGTGTGTTTAACGCTGAAAGTGCACGGCGACAGCGACGGCGACAACAAACGCAGGTGATGGCAATATGTACAGACACATCTTTGTCTGTACATAAAAAAGGATTCACATAAGTAAGGAAAGGACCCTCAAAACTAACATCGATATCAACATCCAACTTTATTAAAGGCGATTTGAAGTCTGAATTTATTTATTACATTCAATAGATCGAAACTGAAAAGTATTGATGTAATCCATGAATTAAAAGCAGTGTCAAATAGTAATGAATGTATCTGTCTTTACTTCATTGTTTCTCCAATGGTTGTTTTCCAAGTGGTCTCTACAGATATCTAACGGACACCTGTAATGAAAGAAAAGTGGACGAACTCTCTTAGTAAATACGGTAGGTACAGTAGCACCACAGATGCCACATGTACATATGCACCATCCTTTAAATCACTAAATAAGCAACAACTAGGCAAAAAAGGATTTGCTTAAAGAAACTGAATTGCAAACAGCGTCTAATATCTAAACATTTAACAGGTAAAAACTACTTCCGTATTTTAGAATACATTAAGATCGCTATCCCAGTCTCTGATCCAGTCTACAAGTTTGGATTTTCACCTTTGTAAATGCGCATCTACTTCCTTGTCTGCAGCACGCTGCGTTCGACAATCTTTTGGACGGACGCATCTTTCAAGTTTGAGTTCTCGGAGCTGTAAAACCAGAAAAAACACCAATATTGAATACATGTAATACGCACATTAATCCAGACTAATAAATAGTTTTATTTGATGAATACAGCAAATCCAGGTACCTGTGGCTACTAGCTAACGGGACTTTATTTGTCACCATGCATGGCCACTCGCAGTATATTGCTACGCCATTTTCCATTGTTTCAGTTAAAATGGAAGACACGAAGAAAAGGTTCATTTAGATATTTCGCAAAGGGGACACTAACCTGCTCAAAAGTCTAAGCTAAGACCAATGTCGTCTTCAAACAACATGCCATGAAATTCGCACAAGGAACACAATAAGATACATTCTAATCGCCTAAAAGTCTAGAGAATTCTGGAGACAATTTGTGAAATACAGTGTGCTCTCTAAGTACCCTCGATTATGTGCATCATCAATTTCCTTGCGGTTTCCTATTTAACCGCGGTTTCCTCCCGGTTTTACGGTACAATTTCCCTCTCAACACATCGATATATTCTACAATACTCTATATATATATATATATATATATATATATATATATATATATATATATATATATATACTGACAGTGTGTCTCTCATATAATACAATAATTGTGGTATAATTCTATAATGTCCAATGAATGACATAATTTCAAAATAAAGAATAAATGATGTTTGAATGAATGAATGCCTATGAAGAAAACTATTGGGTGTTCAATTCAAACCCCAGCCAATACAGATCGAGTCTTGAACTCTAAATGCGAAGTGTGTCTCTGTTCTGCGACCCACCAAAAGTTTGGTGGCTCCTAGATCTATTCGAGCAATCACTACTCACATCTTACGACAGTAAGGTGGACAACATGGTGGACAAAATGGGCCATAATATTCCCTTCTCATCCGGTGGTTGTTTATCGCGCGTTTGATAACATTCAGGACGACATTTTCGTCATAACCACCGGCGTGACTGAAACAGAGAAGTAAATATTTTATAATATAATGTTTGTTATGTTGGTAACAGTATAAGACAATAATTCTGTTAAATCCCATTCATTACAAACACACGCACGGCAAGATCTTAAATAGACCTTAAATAGAATTAAGATTTTAAGTAGAATTTTGACATGCAAAATGTGATTAAGGTCTCGCGAAAGACGTTACATAGCCTGCATCTGCCATTCTAAACAGATTTGTATTGCCACCAAGTTTCGAAATTTCTACTGCAATGCTTAATAAATAACATCTAAAGCCCCCTTTACACTGGAGGGCATCCTTTCTGCGTCCCGTAGGTATAAAGTGGTATTGTGGCGGAATGAATTACATGTAAATGTACGTTTGACATTCAAAATTCCAATGAAAGTTTCTGAATTATACTAATTTATAGCGCAAATAATTTTTTTTCGTAAAAAATTACTTCTTTTCCAAAATTTTGGCCCGTTTCACTTTGAAATAAAGATCAAATCCAAGGGCATACTTGAAATCGCCACATATGACTTTTGGTCAGCCGTCTATGAAAAATTTTCCTATAATTCCTTCCGTATGGTAGATAATAAGCTTTTAATTTTGCCAATTTTGGACAAGGATGCATTGCAATGAGCGCCACACCTAGACCCCAGCACCGTCGAAGCCCAATCTTTATGTGCAAACGAGTTGAGATTTAATGACTGCACCCCGCAGGGACGACGTGTGGGGAGGCGTGTGAGAGGCGGAGAGACTATTAAAAGATTGGGCGGTTTTCCTTTCATGTACGCCCGCCATATTTAGTCTCAGGATTTGTAAAGCCTGGCTCAAATCGTTTTGAATGCGGTCTTAGGGTTCTTAATCTGTCCTAGAACATAAAGTTTTTCTCTTTTAATGAAAGCTGTTCTTTAACTGTTCTACGACATTCTGAAGGACTTCCCAAAAACAGTTGTCGAACTGTTACATTCATTACAAAACAACATAAGAACTGAAAAAAATACACCAATAACAGATTGAGAACTGTAAATGAATGTTAAATGAGACACATTTTTGAAGGGGTAGTCAGATCTTCTATACTTAATGGCCTCTTTGTTTACTTTTGAGACAAAAGATACAACAAATATGAATCTCTCAACTGTAGCGTATGATAAATTACAATGGCTCTAAAAAACTGAAAAAGCAAATTGTCAAAAAAAAAAAAAAAAAAAGAATAATAAAATAATAATAAAGCATGCATTACATTCCCAACCTTACAAATAATCTTGCATTTCATAAATCGCCCATTGACCTTAACACTACGCCCGGAGGACATTAAAGACGCGTTGACACCAGATGAGATGGCAGGACTCCGTATCTCGAAAGGTTCGCTATGTTGCGCACGTCCGCAAGTGTCTCGATTTCGTAACAGATTCTTTCGAGATACGGGGCCATGGAATCGAGACGCTTGCGCACGTGCGCAACATAACGAACCTTTCGAGATACGGAGCCCGGTAATGCTTTAAGGTCAAGTCGGGTCATGGGATACATTTAGGCACTTCAAAGGCTCGAGCACAGCTCTACGCCCCAATAGACACAGTGACACCAGGTGAGGTGACAGAAGTGCTTTAATATGATCGGAACATGAGTTACATGTCGATCTCTCTCTGCGTGGGGGGAGGGGGGCGTATCGACAGTGCGAGAAAAAAAGTTATATACATGTAGAAACAATGCAGGGTGAAGACAACATCCGTACTTAAAGTAGAACCTTATGATTTTTGGCTCTGTTTGCAGTCTAACTTGTGTTAACCTCTCAAATAAAGGCTATATATAATACCCGCAAAAGTAATGACGCACGTGTTGTTTTCAAGAAAAAACGCACGTAATGATGCCAAGTCAACCTAATATGTTGCAGAACTGGTTTACTGCAGCGCCTCCGATTTAGTTTATACTGGCATTGAAATTGCCTTTATAAAAGCAAGTTGACACCTGCCAAATCATGCATCAAAGACCAACAACGAAGAAGGGGCGTGTTAGCTGTTGAACCAATACAAACAACCAGTGCCCCGTATCTTCAAAGCATGATTATATTTACTTTATTTACTTTATTGTCAGTGGTTTGGAAGCCGACCAAATATGTAACAAGCTTCAGTGACATTTGTGGACTGACTCAGTGTCAACGGCACACGTGACTTACAGAAGCTGTAAAGACTTTGAATTTGATAATTCAGGCTCGGAATGTCAGGCTGGCAAAATATTTGAGAACAATTCTGACAGTCTCCTCCTGGCGTTGGGTACCAGTAAAATACATATATATAAGAGCGGGTGATAATATGAGTACGTAGGAAACAAGAAGAAGCGTGCTAATCAGAGTTCCAGTGGAGTTGGGTCGATCTACGTAGCCATATAGGGCGTATTCCCAGAGCTTTTAGATCGATCTATCCCCGCGGGGAGTCTCACTAGATTACTGTCAAACAATCCGGCTTAAATGTCCGTCCCGCCTACTACAAGCTGTAAGGGGGTAATTAACTTTCGTGCCCACTCGGCTGACAGCTATTCAGCGTGAACCCCCAAGGAGTTAGGTCGATCTAGAGAAGATCGATCTAATCTCTGGGAATGGGGTCATAATTTCATTGGAAATGAGCCCAAATGAAAAAATATACATTTCAAACAAGCTTCGCTTTTGTATATTGACGGAATTTCACATGCGTCGCTTTTCAAAATTTACTGATATAAAGTGTTAGTTGTATCAAGGAGTTATAACTCCTTGGTTGTATTGTAAGGTTACATTACCTATGGTACGTATATTTTCTTTAAGTTAATACTTTCAATATATAATTGTGGGCTACCCTGTGGGGCATAACCCTTAAAATCGTTGAAACAAGTAAAGGTTATTATTATTGTGACTTACCTACAGGGTTACTACTTAATATGGAATATTTTTTATCATTGTTATTTTGAGTGCTGATTAAAATCTTTTTGGCTTGATCCATCAAAGAAGTATGTCACTGAGTGATAAAAATATCCAGTCTTCTATTGTGAGATATTTTGGTCAATAATATCACATCTGACATAAGATGTCATTCCAAAGAAAAGAACACCCCAGAAAACCATTTCAACAGTTTGATGTCACTATAAATTTAAGCTAAGATATTAGAGAAAATGACATGTGATATGTTACACAGTCAAAGAACTCATTACAGTAAATCATGAAAAGTCATCAATAGCGGGTATGACCTCCAGCAGCCGCTTGCAATGCCCTCATCCTACAGAGCATACTCTATGGCAAGTTTTTTAGAGTTTGGATGGAGATATCATTCCACGAAGTGATATTTGCCTGTCCCAAAACATCACTATTTACCGGCCGATGACCATAGCCATAAATTTTCAATTGGGTTCATATCTGGGGAGTTTGCAGGCCAGGGTAGTTGCTGAAACCATTGGTTTTGAAGAAAAACGATGATTCTGCGAGCTCGATGTGGAGTTGCGCAGTCGTCTTGGTACACAAAGTTGTTCCTGAAGATGACTCTTACAAATCGAAGCATTGTTTGCTGTAGAATGTCTCTGTAGGAGCCCTGGTTGACGTTGCCTCCTAGAAAAACCAACTTGTTCTGGGCACCGGCATGAAATGCTCCCCAAAGAGAGACGTTACCACCTCCTGCTTGCACCCTAGGATTTCCAAAAACATCGTTTTATGCCTCTCCTACATGTCGGCGGACACGGATTCGAACCTCAATCCTAAAAACTCAATATCTGGCCTCATCACCAAAAACGACGTGATTCCAGTGTTTTGGCTGCAAACGCACATGGTCCCCAGCCCATTGCAGACGTCGCTGTATATGACCTGCTGCTAACAGTGGTTTCACTACTGGTCTTCGTGCAAAATAGCCGGCTTTCAGTAATCTCTTGTTCACGAGGGACCTTGAAATGGGCGTTTGAATGACATTCTGCCTCTCTTTTCTGAGGACACTGGTTGTCTTTGTACGACCAGCACGGCGCACTCTAAGGAGAAGGCGATCCTTTCTTCTTGGTGTGGTACGCGGACACCCTGGTGGAGGTATTGGAGTAGGTGCCCCTGTTGTAGCATTTCTTTGGAGGACTTTACTAACAGTTCCTGATAAATGTTGCATTCCCTGGCAATGGCTGTCCGTTTCTGCCATTTTCTCTGAGAGCAAGAATCCCATAGTAAGCTGCGTTGCTTAGCAGTCGAATCATATATTCTCTAAGGTACCTGTCAAGTTTCAGAGCGATTCCGTAGTTGCTTCTCAAAATACACTCCAAAGATTGGTCAAACCCATGCATTTTTATACAAGGACAGAAATTGCCGAAAAGACCACCCCTCACATTTCTGACCACAGAACATGCAACTGCATGCATCAATTGTAAGGAGAGTTGTGTAGTAATTAGGTAACACACCTGGCTACACATGGAGTCACGCCTCAGTTTTGGATTTAAAGTAGTTACAGAGAAAATGAACATTTTGTAGAAAATTTACTAGCCAAAAAATAATATTCTATATTAGGTAGCCCTAACCCTGTATTATCCTCTTCTGCCTCCGAGAGTCCCAACTTGTTTAGACAAAACATTGGTGAAAAATTCTCAGAATTTATGGGAAACCCGAGTATGGTTAGTTAAGGGAGACGATTTTTAAACAGATTATTATCCGTGCAAATCTGAAATAATTGAATAAAATAATCGACAAAATCTAAAAATCACATGTAAAACCCCGGCCCTTTACACTGGATGTCCCCGAGTTCGGCCCTGTTTAAGAGTAAAATATACTGTCCGTGGCGACAACTGTCCAAAAAATAAAAAAGAAAAAAGGAAAAAACAGGGACTGATTTAAGTTTTTTTGTGAAACTGGGCCAGATTCGTGGTCGCACAAAGGAGACAAAGGATGCCGTCCAGTGTTAAGGGGGGGGGGGGGTATAAGTATGAGAAATCCATTAAAACCTACCTAGCAGCAACAACCGTAAATACCAAGAGCAGCACGAGTGCGGTCTTCATTTTCGCGTTGTATAGTAAGACAATTTTAATGTTTTATGCAAGCTGCAGTGATAATGGAGCTGGTTATGTTGTCCCTGTACGTCAGATTATATAAACCCTATCGTCTTACCTGCCCGCACCTCATTCAGGCCGAGTCATTCACTTACGTCACCATTTATACATTTGTACAGTAGGTGCTGAAACCGCTTGATGCTAGGACTGTCCTAGTTTATAATTAAAACGACTGGGAAAAAAGAAAAATTGAAAATGAATCAAATAGGTAAAAGGAAAAAGGGGTTACTGAGTGTGAGTTAAATTTCTTTAAGAGTTAACAAGTGTAGAAAACACTTTTCGTATAAGGAAAAGATGGAACATGTCCAAGTTTATTTCCTTGGTTAACTCCACAATGGAATTGAACGTTTCCATCGCGTGTTCAACACATGCAAACTGAGTGATGGGTATGACACAAGTTTTAATAATTCAAATACTTTAGATTTTTTATGAAAAAAGGCTCTAACAGACTTCTTCCTAAGGAAATATTGGATGGGCGAACGAATGGAAAAGACTGGTAATCACGCAAACTACAATGTAAAAAAAAAACAATAAAAAAAAAAAAAAAAAACGAGTAAATGGGTGATGGTACGGAGAGCATATAAAGCTTAATAAAGTTATAAACTCTTGGATTTGTAAAAAAGGTCAGCGGTTAAACAAACGGCTGAAGGCTCCAACTCGTCGTCGTCATTAGAATAAAGACAAGTGCGTGAAGACTTCTCATGGCCTCATGGATCTTTTCAGTTAATACCGAACTTCTTTTTTTTTTATGTACAGACACAGATGTGCCTGAACATATTGCCATCACCTGCGTCTGTCGTCACCGTATTCGCTGTCGTCGCCGTCGCCGTGCACTTTCAGCGTAAACACGATAAGTGGAAGACAGTTTCACTTTTTGGCTTTATATTTACAAAGCTGATGAAAATTTATAAAACGCAGGTTCAGTTCGAAAATCAGCACGATCGGGCTTCTATTTCAGTAGTTATGCTGTTTTTTTTCTCACTTTTTAGCATATATGCAACACTGTAAATACAATATAAGAAAAACAGATAGGCCAATTGTCATGAAACTAACAGGAGCGCTCAATCTTAATAAAACGCAGGTTGAGTTCGAAAATCAGCCATTATTGTAGAAGTTATGCTGTTTTTTCACATTTCCTCAGATTCAATTTTTAGGCATGTTAACAGTCTCATTATTTTAAAACTAATATTAAAGATACTTAAAAGTGTTTGTTTGACATTTCCTGCATCTTTACAACATTGTAAGTTAATTAAGTAAAAATGATGGTAAACTTATCGTGTATTGTGTAATAAAGTTTCAAAAACGGAAATAAGCTATATTACTNTAATTAAAACGACTGGGAAAAAAGAAAAAATTGAAAATGAATCAAATAGGTAAAAGGAAAAAGAGTTACTGAGTGTGAGTTAAATTTCTTTAAGAGTTAACAAGTGTAGAAAACATTTTTCGTATAAGGAAAAGATGGAACATGTCCAAGTTTATTTCCTTGGTTAACTCCACAATGGAATTGAACGTTTCCATCACGTGTTCAACACATGCAAACTGAGTGATGGGTATGACGCAAGTTTTAGTAATTCAAATACTTTAGATTTTTTATGACAAAAGGCTCTAACAGACTTCTTTCTAAGGAAATATTGGATGAACGAATGAATGGAAAAGACTGGTAATCAAGCAAACTACAATGTAAAAAAAAAAAAAAAAAAAAAACGAGTAAATGGGTGATGGTACGGAGAGCATATAAAGCTTATAAACTCTTGGATTTGTAAAAAAGGTCAGCGGTTAAACAAACGGCTGAAAGCTCCAACTCGTCGTCGTCATTAGAATAAAGACAAGTGCGTGAAGACTTCTCATGGCCTCATGGATCTTTTCAGTTAATACCGACCTTCTTTTTTTATGTACTGTACAGACACAGATGTGCCTGAACATATTGCCATCACCTGCGTCTGTCGTCACCGTACGAGGGTTGATTGATAAGTAGTGAGCCTCATATAGAAGGGGTACACATTTTACAAGTATTTTTCTTTATTTTTCAACATAGTCTCGTTGAGTATCTATACACTTTTGCCAGCTAGTTTTGAGAGCCTCTATGCCACTTTTATAGAAGCCCTTCTCTTGGCCGTTCAGAGACCCCTCCATTTCACGTCTGACGTCATCTTCTGACACAAAGTGAGTACCTGAAATGGCCTTTTTCAATTTGGGAAATAGATAATAGTCAGAGGGAGCAAGATCAGGCGAATAAGGTGGATGTTCTATCAGTTCAAAGCCACACTCGTTGATTGCAGCCATGGCAATGACATACTTGTGAGCAGGGGCATTTTGCAAAAGTCACTTGCCTTGCTTATTTGAGAGTGCTACCTCGTCGACATAAACCAAATTACACCAAACTTCGGCTACACACCTTTAAATAGTCAGGGAATAGAAGGGCTGAAAAGGGATATCCCTGCTTAACCCCTTCCACACGAGGCTCACTACTTATCAATCAACCCTCGTATTCGCCGTCGTCGCTGTCGTCGCCGTCGCTGTGCACTTTCAGCGTAAACACGATAAGTGGAAGACAGTTTTACTTTTTGGCTTTATATTAACAGAGCTGATGAATATTTATAAAACGCAGGCTCAGTTCGAAAATCAGCACGATCGGGCTTCTATTTCAGTAGTTATGCTGTTTTTTCACTTTTTAGCATATATGCAACACAGTAAACACAATATTAGAAAAACAGATAGGCCAATTGTCATGAAACTCACAGGAGTGGTCAATCTTACTAAAACGCAGGTTGAGTTCAAAAATCAGCCTAATCGGGCCATTATTATAGAAGTTATGCTGTTTTTTCACATTTCCTCAGATTCAATTCTTAGGCATGTTAACAGTCTCATTATTTTAAAACTAATATTAAAGATACTTAAAAGTGTTTGTTTGACATTTCCTGCATCTTTACAACATTAATTAATTAAGTAAAAATGATGGTAAACTTATCATGTATTGTGTAATAAAGTTTCAAAAATGGAAAAAAACTCATATCATTGCAGTTTGTCAGATTCAATCATTCACTAAATTGGACATTTAACACTGTTCTTTTGATATTTTTTCCATCTCATCAATTTTTCAGTTGATACATAAAAATGGCAGTAAACTGTTAATGTTAAAAAATTGTTAAAAATGAAAAAAAAAAAAATTCAGAACGGTGCTGTCTTGTTTACATTTGGGCATTTTCAAGGTGTGACTTTGAACTTCCATGGGCCTGAAGACCTTTGCTAGTCACATTTTCTGAATATCCATGATACTAATATTTTATTATTAAAGATTGATGGTCATAATGCTGTTAAACATTATGTAATATTGCATCAAAATTTGAAGAAACCCCTATTTTGGGCACTGCTCCCATGATGTCCATTTAAGGAAAAACCCTGTCACTTACTGTTCTCAAACTTTCAGGGAAGAATCATGGGACTATAATACAGCTTCAGTAGGCAATGCAATCTGTTTGGTAAATTTTTCTGGCAGTTAAACAGTTTTTTTGTGAAAATTAAATTTTTTACATATTGGCATTTTCAAGGTGTGACTTAGAACCTCCAATGCCTTGAAGACCCATGCAAATCACATGTTCTGAAAATCCATGATACATATATTTCATTATTAACAAGGCAGCAAAACTGTCAAATGTACAGACAAAATCAGAAAATAAAAATGCAGAAAATGGTTCATTTTGTCAATTTTGATGCAATAATAAATCATGCCTATAATAGCACTGTCAATCAACACTGAATTTTAATCATGCACAACAGGTGACATCGTCAATAACAGGAGTGGACCCAGAGATATTTTCTGACAGTATTCCAAATTATCTTTGTTGATCCATCCTACATTTTTGATGGTCTTCCAACAGAAAAAACAGATACCCATCAATGTGAACTTTAAAATCTGAAAGACCCAGAAGGCGGCCTCAATCCACCCCTGCAATAAGATTACAGTTTCAGGACCATGAGAGTTCAAATTCACATAATGAAAATCCCAATATTTGAATAATGATGACTGTGCATAAGATAATATTACATAATGTTTAAAGACATAAAAAACAATGCAACTGCTTATGTGGAAATACAGAAAATGTGAAGAGCTTCAGGTGGATGGGAGCTGAAAATGCCAATGTTTGAAAAATAAATTAAAAAGAAAACACAACAAAAATATCCCATTGAAGCTGGCTGCTGCTATTCAAACTTTTAATCTTGCTGTAATAACATGATATGAATAACCCCAATGTGTTTGAGGATAATAAGGCACTGTTATTCATCTTTTTTTCTTTTGTTAACTTATTTGCAATATTAAACAACGATGTGCTACTTATTTTACCATTTATTTTCAAAACGGGTGAGAAACGTGGAGCAAATGTGGAACAGAACTGTTATTTGACCTGTATGTGCTCTATTTAAGCTAAATCGGCTGCATGATACACAGCGAGTGAAAACTTGAGCACAGGATGGACTGTCAAAATGTACCAGGGTGAAAAATAGTGCAGAAGCATCTTGTTTGTACTTGTTACAATATGCTCTGAACTTTGGTATTTTAAAATTTACATTTCACATGTCGAGATGGGTCACATTGAAGAAGACAAAAAGGCAAATAGAGACGGTTATTGTGGATTTACAAAGGAAAAAATGATGTGCTACCAATCATGAGTTGGTATATTTGTAAGCCATGTTGAAAAAGAAAAGAAAAAATGGAGAGAGGCCATGTTATTTCATTTTCAAAGCAAAAAATTTCAACATGACATGAATTTATTTAGGCCAAAACATACTGTTATATTTATATAAATGTAGATAACATTTTGGTGGAGAATATGTAAGCCGAGCTCCACCAAATTTTACTTTGTTAAACATATTGTTTAACATTCTAGAAATTGTTTTCTAAACAAGGCCATGTGTTTGAACTGCATGGTAACCCCCCTTCCAAAAATGTTGCTGTTGTCAGATCTATTAATGTGTGAGAGTAGTTGAGTGAATGTGGAGAGAGAGAGAGAGAGGCTGTAAATTATTCAAGACTCTAAAAGAGGTAAAGTTTAAGTGTTAATAACCTTGTAATATTAGATAAGAAATGATGCGTCACTGTTGTGGTACAGGAAGTAGTGCCCTTCTTCCTCTGTAACTTTATACCATGCATTGTCGCGTAATACTGGTAAGTTTGAAACCAGAAATGCCATTTACTCCAAGGAAAATGTCTTGAGGGGGGTTTCCTCGAGAGGTCAGAATAAAAATTGTCTAGAGCAGTTGGTTTAGCTTCCTACAAAAGTGAATTTAAATGCTTACCCCTTTTTACAGTTCTAATCATAATTAAATCGTGGGTCGCATTTTCAACACCACTAGATTTTTTTTTCTTTGTTTTTTTGGTTGTCTGTAAAGCATTTTTGTTTGGGTTTTGAACTTGTGTATATTCTTTTTATAACAGAAAAGGTGTTGAAATTACAGTGTATTTATTTATTTCTTGGAGAACTGCAGTAACAAACTACATTGCTATTATATCTGTTAGTAGTACTTGGTGACAAAGAAGTAACATTCATGACTACCTGCAATAAATGATTTGGTTGGTTTTGACAATACTTGTAGACTTTATTTTTCTGCACTGCAAATGTTTACTTTGCAAGAAAACTTGGGAAGAGCCCAGGTCTTAGATATCAACCTAATTATCCGTGACCCAATTGTCACTTGATTTGTAGCCATTATCAATTCAGAGCTTTATTGTTCTTCGACTGGAATTGCCTGTACAGATATGAACTGTAGTCCTCATCAGCCTGTGTTTCAATCCAGTTTTCTCTAAACACCAGAAAGGTGTATTAAAGATGTTGATATGATTATATATGTGTGTGCCGCAGAGATAGCACAGGTGATACTCAATACTTCAAGTAGTGAACATGTTTAGATTTTGCTTTAAAACTTAATAAGTAACAAAATATTGGAAAATAAAAATCAAAGGTTGCATACAGTGTTTTGTTCTTCCTGCTGTTGCTGCTGCCTTAGTTACTGAAACATCATCAAAACTCTAGTTTTCAGATTTGTTACACTGAAAATGGACATATTGGTGACATTTAAAAAAAATTATTATTTAATTACTTTTAAAAAGTTCTGATTTCTTCTCCGCTGTCCATTTACACCTGCGTCTCCCAAGCAACATGCCATTTTTAGGTGCAGTCCAGAAAACAACAACTGTCTTTGAGTTATTTAGTTTATTGCATAATTGAAAAGATGTAAATTAGATTGTGGACTTTGCGCTGCCATTAAAAAGTTAAAATACTGAAAAAAAAGGGATAAACATTACAGCTCAATAATGAACTTCTTGTAGACATCTAGAGCAGATTGTTAAATATGCCTTAGTGTGAGTTGACATCCACACGTAAAACATTCTGAACACATTTTGAAAATGTTAAGTTCTCTTTAAAGTCTGGAGAGTACATTGGGGAAACTGACCAGTCAGAAATAACTTGTTCTCATGGCAAAATCTTTTAAAATATTCCTTTGTAATGAAGCCCTTCCTGTTTCTCCAACTTTTTTTCCACATTTTTAGTGATATAAAATCCTCCCAACTTTGCCTAAAAAAGGGTAAATCTTCAAAGTAAACTTTGCTCCCCGATATAAAATAAAATTATCTGAACAAAAATCACCTACAAATAAAAGCCTGTATTATGTGCAATAAGATGATGAAGAAAAGAAAAATTACCTCTTTCACAGTGATATATATATATATATATATATATATATATATATATATATATATATATATATCAATTCTGAAAGCACCTTGTCAAACTCAGCACCTTTCAAGTATCATAATGCAGATACTTGTTTTATATCAAAATTACCCCCCCCCTCCTAAAAAATGGGGGAAAAAATCCATCATTAATCCTGTCATAAAAACTGAAATTTGAGCCTTACATAAAACCAAGTGACATAGTTGTCCCATCCACTAATATCATTGTATACTTATACATAAACAAATATGGACTAGTCTTTTCCTCAAAGTTTTAAAGATTTGATAAAAAGTGAAAAGTAAAATTTCCCCACCTTCGTTGTATCTTAGCAAATATCATTCTCCCAACTAAAAGTCAAAGCAGCAATCAATAAGGTATCTTAACTTAATCATGTTTCAATTTTTTCTTTCTCTTCTCCCAGCTTTGATAGTCCGCACAGAAACAGTACTTCCTCAAATCCGGATGGTTCTTTTGTACACAATATGGCTGATTGCCATATATATTGATTCTGCTGATATCTGGGGTAACCTCCAGTCTCTCTGCCCCAATGTTGTATTGCAATGTTGACTCGTACATAGCGTTGCTAGGAGAGGTAACCAAGGTGATCTGGTAATGAACAATGTCAACCTTGACCTTGGAAGTGAAATTGGCAATTCGCTGGTCTGCATCCATACTGTTAAAATATTTCAGCACCTGAAGACGCATGTAGGTAAAAAGAAAATTATTTAAAACTTGTCCAATGTACCTTTTTACATGTTAAACATCTACTAATAGGTATACATAAATTTTGAGATGTCTGAATTTTTTTCTCATCTTAAACTGTATCGTTTAATTTTCATCAATCTAAATGTAGCACTGAAGACAAACATTTCTACTCATGAAAATTTGCTAGAAACTAAAATAAAGAGGCCAATCTGTTAATTTTTCTAAATCAGAACTAACAGAATCAATTTGACAAAATACTAAGTAAGAGATCAAAGGATGTGTTATCAAGTTTTCTTTTTATCAAATGTGGCCTGCAATCACTATGTGTCTACTTGTCTTTGTTTTAACTGCTTCTTTTCACCTATACTGTAACCATCACTTCAACATTTCATAACTTCATCTATAACCTGTCAAATTCCCCTTTCACTTTTTACCAAAATCATTTTAATGGTTATCTAAGATAAATTTATTTACACATTACAATCAAACTAGTTCTCACAGCCATAAATATGTACAACATTAACACAGACCATAGAGCACTTATTACCTGTTCATTTGGTGCTAGCAACCTGACACTAAGGATCTTATCAAGGTGTAGCACACTACACTTCTCTCTGTGTTGAGATGTCAGGCCATTGATATAGTCTATAACTTTAGATGCTGCCTCTTCAGCACGTGCACTGCTGACATCAACATCCTGCGACACCATGCATGAGCACCAGTGCGGGGCCACACCTGAAACAAACGTCCAAATTATGATGCTTCTTTAATAAAAATTAAAAAAAAATTGCAAGCCCATTTTTTTCATCAACTGCATATCTGGTTGTCTTTTTTTTTAATTATTAATTTAACCAAAGATGGAATAGAATGACTCTGGTCTTAATGATTTCAAAACCAGTCTTGGCATACCCACCTGCCGACTCACATGTCCTGTTCATGGGGATACTATTCAGCAGACTGATCCCTCTGTCTTTATACAATATCTTCTTCTGTGCCATCTTGAGATCCAGAACCGTTTCCAAAGTCACATGCATATCAAATGGCGTCGTAAGGCGATGAGCATTCTTACGCAAATTCTGCATGAGATCGGGGTGTTTTTCCCGAAACCACTGTGGAAAGGTCAAGGTCATCAAAGGAAGGCGCTCCTCGAGTTTCCCTTGTACAGTGTGACGCACTTTGCGATATCTGGCCCCATGGTCCCCCATTACAATCAGCAGGGTGTTGTCAAGGTGTTTGTGTCTCTTCAGATATTTGAGCAAGGTCACCATGTCTCTGTCCATGTACTCAGCAGGGCTGTTGTCTGCATGGGACAACTCCCCGTAGAAACCGAATGCAAACTTGGAGACATTCCTGTACCTTGTGAAGAACTGTTTGACGTACTTCAGTAAATACCTGTGTTTTGGAGTGCCATGTAAGCAAAACTGGTTCTTCTGTTCCCTATCATCGTAATCATCAATAGCGTTCCAAAATGGCCGCATGTAGTGGTCCGTTGGTTTGTGTTCAAAACCATTTAACCTGAGATTGAAGGTGCCAAAGGATGGCATGTCTTCTGCATACAGTGTCACATAGCCGTTGTGCTCAAAACGGTTCCATATCAGGTTATAGCTATCCACAAAGCCAGCACCTGGCTCGTTTTTCCTGGTCTCAGGCAGTTCAGTTTCTGTCTTACCTGAAAAACAACAATTAAAAACTGGTTTTATATAGTTCATATTAAATCTGTTTGTAGAATGCAGATAAATAAGTTTCATTCATTCCGTTTGATAACTTAAGGTATCCTCATTGACAGCAATTTTTCTGTTATATAAAATTTAAGTTGAACTTACTGTAGTCCTATCACCAACTAAATTCATGTTGAATGTTATCTCAAATCTATAACTGCTTTCCCACTTGAAGTTTCGAAGGAAAAAAATGTTCAATAGTGCGAGATTGAACAATGTGTTAGGTGAGACAGTGTCTTCAGTGTGAAGGTGTGTTAGGTGTGACAATGTTTCAGGCAAGAGAGTGTGTTAGGTGTGACTGTGTTGAAAGTGAAAATGTGTTAGGTGAGACAGCATTCCTTTGGCACTGTTTACCTGTAAACATGGGGATGAGTGCTGCAGTGGTGGCATCACCCACAATATTGTACCCATTCAGGATGACAGCCTCCAGGGTATCTCTCAGGTAGGCATAGGTGAGGGGAAGTTTTCTCTGGTACGACAGGTGGGACATGGAGTCCAGTGCCAGCATTAAGACATTTAATTTGGTCGCATCTGGGTGTGGGGGGAGATCCTTTTGTCTGTCAAATACAGCAGCCTCTGGTTCAATCTGAAGCAGTAAAAGTTTAGTTTTTGGTGAACAAATTCAACAGGTTTTGGCATCAAATGATTTTCAAACATACTGTCATAATACTTGAAACATACAAAATATAAAGTTGACATTGTATGCCAAAATGATTCCTGAACAATTTATATGAGAACTCAAAATTAGTCTGTAAGTGTTGTTCTTATTTTTTGAGTAAAATAGAACATCTGGTTAATGGGGAGAGTAAACCAAAATCAACATAACTCATTGTTCTCTGGATTGAATAATGTGATTCTGATGACTTCTTCTTCTTTAAATGATACCTTACTCCCTCACCTGCACAAGATACTGTTCAAAATCAGGAGCATGAGCATCAAAGAAGTTTACTCCATAGTACTGAGGATCCCCTGTATTATCCTCACCATCATCATCATCACCTAGGCGTCCAGCTGTCACTGGGGTCACCAGACCCTGACTGTGGCGATGGCCATTTCTTTTTCTTTCTACGTCAAATTTTTGATTGTCTGGATTGCTTTTTCGGACCAAAATCTGTTTGCTTTTCTCAATTGTTTTCTGATAGTTAATTTTGCTATTTATTTTAGCATTATTTTTGTCTTTGAACTTGTTAACACCTGATCGCGACTGATCTTTTTGCATCACTTCTTTTGTTTCTTTCAAAAGAGCGTTTATCTGATTGTCAAGGAATCTGGAATTTTCAGAGTTCAGCAGTTTCCTGCCAGTGATTCTTTGGTTCTGTTTTGATTCTTGCAAGTAACATTCAACTTTGACAAAGTCATGATTAACTTTCACTTCAAAATTGCTATCTTTATTAGCAATGTTGACTAGATTGTATGTTTCTTCCATTGGAGGGTCTCTCGACCATTCTATGGAATAATATTTACATTCCTTTAGCTTTCTGTTTCCAAGAACAGTTTTATTCAACTTTAATACAGAATTATCAAAGTACATGAGTTGCTGCCCATTGCAATGCAGTGGCTCCATCTTTTTGAAAGCAGCAGCATTGGAATCTGTTCTCAAGCTCAAAACAGGTATTTTACACTCCAACAAATCTTCCTCTGACAAAGCTTTCATCAACTTCCCATGCAGTTTTTTCCTCTTCTTTTTTCCATATTTGAAATGTCCTTGAACTCTTGTATAGCCTTGAGAACGGCCTTGACCTTGACCTCTTAGGGTGACATCAGATTGTGATGAGGAAGTGAGCTGACCTTCATTGTAGTATATTCCCAATATAACTAGTCCTAAGCATGTGATGAAAAAGGCTAGATTTGTAAATCGACTTCTGCAGTGGCGACCTTTACAAGGCATTTTATCACTTTACCATAGACAGCCTGACTGAAAAAAGAAAGAAAAGGACATTGACATACCTTTATTAAATGATAATCCTGGGGTCAATATATAGACAGACTTTGGGAAGACATTTGGAATGAACTTGTCATGAGGTTTATGACCTAAGATAAGAGGTTTACATGGTTCCTGGGTAACATGCCGGGTATACTGTAGGTCTTGAAGGTGGTCTGACTGCAGTGAATATAATTTACTTGGATCTGTTTGTAATAACAAAAACATTATTAATGAGTATCACAATATATTACAATTATACAGTACTATGAAGGGGATAGAAAATGTCATCACTTTTTTCTTCCTTTTTTCTTTTATTTCTTATTTATTTATTTTAACTGATAAAAATAAGCAATGCCTGCCATGAAGCTGTACGTCCAAGCTCACAGGATTAATAACTGGTAACCTATCGGCATTAAAAGGCAGCCTGCATAGTCATCAAGGAGATCAGACAATGACAATTTTACCTTTACTTATTTATTTTATGTGACACTTCCTGTCCTGTTTTTATTTTTCATCAAAACAAATCAATAAGCCAAGCCGTCCAATAATAATTAAACTTTATCTGTTAAGTACTACAGTATATGCTGGCTGTAGAGTCTGTTAAAAATTATCAATAGATATGAACACTGATGTAGCAACAAATGCTTTGTTAACAGCAGAGTACGGTCTGAAATTTCGGATTAAATTATATATTAATATTAATATTGAGCTGAGGTAGATCGCGTGATTATTTCTCTCTCGATCTTGGACTAAGACAAAAACAACGCCTACGTTTTAACTTTCATATGTTCATATGTTTCATTTAAATATAATAACCATAAAATTCGAGATCAAACATGAATGCAGAGCAAAAGAGACCACGAGTTCTTCCCATACCTTATTTCTCTATTGTTCTACGCACGCCCTACACCACAGCTGTAACCTACACATTAATTATTCTCTGCACAAACAGCACGGACTTTGGAGTTTAGCGTGGTGTTGTTGACTAGAGCTCTTTTGAAATAGGAGTCCGATTCCGCGATCGTCTTCATATGTCATGGTTGAACTTCCGGTTTAGTTGTTGGTTTCAACACTGGGTGACATTTATTCGCAAAGCAGTGGGAAAATGGCAGTTACTGCCGTACATTTAGACTCAGACGCCTTCATGGTGTGCCTGGCGCATGCTCTGTCCACGGAGAGGGAAGAAGTAATGGGGTTACTGATGGGAGAGGTGAGTGCATTTCATGAACGACTTTTACCTTCCAGGTTTCATGTCATTGTTTTGATTCTCAAAATTGTTGAAGTCCGAGTCGAACTCAAAATTATGCTCAGACTAAGTCGCATCGTTATTTTTCATTTATTTTGTTTGTTTGATTTTACCCGTTTTTCAGCATTTGCTACTCTCTATAGCTGTGTGATAAGTAAGCAGGGTTATTTATTTATTTATTTATTTTGTAATCATCAGGTTAATTATCTAAACAGCAAAATGGGCTCTCAGCATGCTTTCAACATGTGCTCCCCATTTTTAGAAATGCCAGAGGCATGCTGGTGNTACTATGAAACAGACAGAATATGGCATTCTAGGGTCCCCCCAGTTTATTTAAAAGGAATGCTGGATTTAAGAAGTTCTGATAGCTTGCAGTTGAAGTTGTCATTTATATAGTTCATGTTTTTTGATTAGGCTAAAAACGATGACTTGTAGCAATTTTAATCCCAGAAACAAGCCAGGTACGGGTAAAGGCAGTTCAAACACATGTAAAATGCTTACCTTTGCTACTTGCTTGCAGCACAGTTTTCCTCCCATTCATTCTGAATCTTCTCATATAGACTTTAAACTTGCACATATGGATGTGTTTTTATCAGTGTTATACAATATATGCTGTACATATTTATTCTTAACTGTTACTACAGACTTGCTCATGAACTGCAGAGACCTATCAGGGTTCTTGGCTGGTATCACTCTCATCCTCACATCACTGTGTGGCCGTCACATGTGGGTAAGGAGGAAGTTGTACACTGGAGAGTGTGTGTGTGTGTGTGGGGGGAGGGGGGGGAGTTGTGAATTGGCTTTGGAACATACTTCTGATGGGTCAGTGTTGGTAATTATAATTCTTACCTTCATATGCACATGCAAAAATATGCACAAGTATGTGCACACACACACACACACACACACACAAACACACACACATGATATAGTTATAAATGAACTGCTACAGTTAAAAAAGACCTGCTCTTTTCAGACGTCCGAACACAGGCCATGTACCAAATGCTTGATGAGGGCTTCATTGGGCTTATATTTTCAGTATTCAATGAGGAAAAGAATACAAAGGTGAACTGAAGATTGATATGTTGCCAGTATAACAATTAGATTCATTTTGGTTGCAAGGCTTATTGAGTTTTGACAAGGAAATTTGTTAATAATTTGTTAATAATTGTATAATGATAAAGTTGTGCATTTTTGAAAAATTAAGTTAAATGGTAATGTTCCTTTTTTGTCATTCTATATTTATATGTATTTATTCATTTTTGTTTATTTATAATTTTGACTTTTGCAGTCCAATCGTGTGCAGTTATGCTGCTTTCAGTCTATAAACCAAAGCCCTGAAGGAGAGGCACCCCAGTAAGTGCTCTGTGCATCTGTGTTTAACTGTCTGTCTGTCTGTCTGTCATCTGTTTATCTCAGTATTTGTGTTTCATACAAAACCTGTAAAACCTGTAGAGTGACGTTTAAATTTTTTAAATTGAATAATTATTGTACATAAGTGTAGAATTGCAATATAGCTAATTGTTATGCCAACTCTTAGTAATAGCTTTAATAAAATCTGGTTGCTGCAGTACATGTAGTGATGACAATAAGAAATTACCTTCATAGCAGTAAGCCTTGTTTGTGACATCTCATATGTATCTTTTACAGTCAATAGTTGTTGGATTTGAAGCTGATCCTTATAATTATTATTATTATTATTATTATTATTATTATTATTATTATTATTGCTACTGCAACTGCTACTATTATTATTATTATACCAGGTATTTAAAATTAGAAATCCCTGTCCATGTGGTGCAGACCCATACTCTGGGTAAGGCATGTTTACAGTCACTGGTAGAACTACCCCATATACTGAGTCAAGAGGAGGAAGAGTCGTATGGAAAGACTTTGACTATAGACAACTTAGACCTGCTCACCAAAATACACAACAGTGCTGGTAAGGTGCAGGGGTTTCATTTATTTATTTATTTATTTATTTATTTATTTTTGTTTATCAGGGATGAGACCACCATATCATAAAAGTCAGAAAATATGGCATGGTGTTAATGGGGGCTGCCTAGGCGAATGACTTTTTTGGCTCCCGAAAAGTTGGAAGTGCATGAACGACAAAAAATTCATCCCAGGTTTATTGAAATTTATTTGGGAAAAGGGATACAATTGTTCTTTTCAGTGATCTTTTGAATAGAATGGTAAAATTGAGATCTTTTTAGATATTTTTCACGAGGTTTATTATTTTGGATTTTTGTGTACAGTTGTCTGTTTTTGTATGGATAATGTGGGGATTTTCAACTTTATATGCAAGCCTAATATTAACCTATGTCAACTGTATAAAGCTTAGCAGAAATGAAGCAGAATTTTATTTTTTGATATATAAGAAGTGTTCTTAGTGTAATATTTTTGCCTCTGCCTTCCAGTGTACACCAAGTCACTATGCCGAATCATGGACGTCATGTCCGGACCTCTGATACAAACTCTGGAAGCTCAGCTGGAAAGAAATAAAACTAAGATTATACAACTTCAAAACGAAAAGGAATCTCTTTTACAGAAACTGAACAGAAAATCGAGAAGTCCACATAGCCCATCAAAAGTGACAAGTGTATAGCAGATTTTTAATGTACAATTTAGAATTTAATACCGCAGATTTTTATAATACGGCAACCGGAAGTATAATACTGATGAGGAAATTAATGAGCACATTAATCATTAGCCATTTGGCTTGGTTGACTGTTGTGAATGTGTTCAAAGTTGCACATGTAACGCATTGCTGATCTGCAGTGTACTTGTGGTCAGCGTGCTGCCGAGTGAACGGTTTCAAAATCTTGCTATATACTAGGATATGAGTTATTTACAATAAAAACAAACGGAAAAGAAATATTTAAATAGTGTGTGGGTTGTCTTCATCTGGCTTTACCTACCTGAAATATGCTCTTCACCCTAGGGGGGGGGGGTAGACGCTCAATGAGCAGAGACGTCGGTGAATTTCATTAGGAAACGGGTCTAAAAAGGCAAAATGGACAGTATTTTGATCTCCCTGTTTATTTTAGAATAAAACTTGATTCTTGAGTTATATTTGACTTCAATGTTAGAATAATTAGTAAAACAAATTGGAGCAATGCTCACACTAAAGCACAGTGTGGAACCAAGTGAATTGAATCTTGATATTTTGTTTTAAGATTTTAATAATTGTTAAAACTTAAACAAGGCAAAGTCTTCCGTTCTTGCTATAAGTTAGCCAGATGAAATTTTATTTATTTACTTCATTTTATTTTATATTGCTCGGCGCAATTTCAGTAGGATAACGGACAGGCATTTTTGTGTTTCATCAACAGATAAAAATCAAAAGCTGTGACAAATATTTTGTTTACTCCAGATAAATTCAAAAACCAGAAGAACAGAATGAATATCCTTTTGGTTTTATTATAATAACACATCAAAGTAAGCATACCAGTACAGTTGTACAATTAGATATACATAGCAGAATTAAAAATGAGGGTCAATCCTCCTCAGCTCACACTCGTTTAGTATTTGTACATCGAGTCAGAAGTAGTATGGAAAAGTAGGCTCCGCTGCAAATAGTTTACTGATACAGCTTTCAAAAAAATTTAAAAAATCGAACATAGTTTATAAGGTAAAGCATCAGACCAAGTGTAAAAATTGCTTAGAAAATGAATAATAGAAATTGGGTTTGTCGTGAATAAGACCAACTGGATGTTTTTTTAAGACAAAATATTCACGCCAGACATGCTAGACCCCGGATACGCAACGATGTTCAGCGTTTTTCAACTTTGAAAAGATTGTTTTTAAAATCAACATGAAACTAACCCCTTGCACTTGCTATGAATAACTTTGATTGTTTATTCTGTTTCATTCGTTAAAGCTTGGACCGAAATAGTCCATGGTTAAAGGTATATTCTAAAATGTTATTTTGGTGTGTAAATATTCTTCAAAACAACTTATTTTTCCACGTCAGACCCTGAAAACAATAAACCCCTCAAATTTAAGTAGACCTATCTGGTGAATATTTCTTCTGAAATATCAGAAAGACATAATAGCGATCTAAATGAGACACGATTAGTCCAGAACTAAGCTACTTTATAAGAGATGGCACATACAAGTTCAATATTCAACGAGTCAAGCAATGATTCGTGACAAGCAGGAATATGTTCCTCTACTCAAGAAAACTTAGGTCTTTGGCGAATATCGCCTACAGGATACCTTGGCAGGTTTTTATAATTGCCGAAAATAATAAAAATAATGAGGAACATCAACAACTTTTCTAAAATATAAAATAACATGCATGTATTTTAGTTCTCTGCTTCTTTTGAAACAGTGCAGTCACTGAATGTTTTATCTGCAGGAAGCCGAGCCAGCAATGATCAGAATAAGGGTAAAGGCAGAAATCCCTTGGATCTGACTCGAAGCCGAGGTGGAATGCCCGTTAATTAACGTCTGATTCGGCGACATGAAGAGCAGACGATTTGGAGTACCGACGGCCGTGGGACGGATCGTGACGGCATCCTTGGTCGATTTCTCTGTGAGCCATTGTTTGATCTTTTCTGGAGTCGGGGGCGTGTCGTGGAGAGCTAGGAAGCGCGCGACGACGCCGCTGACGTGTGGGGCGCTCATGGACGTACCGTCCTTTTTCCCGGCTCCGTTGTTGGGCAGCGTGGACAGAATCTGGTAACCTGGTGCTATGATATCCACACAGTTGCCGTAATTGGAAAATGTACACAGTCGATCGTTATAGTCCGAGCATCCGACAGTTATGGCGTCAAGAACACGCGCTGGGGTAACCATGCAAGCAATGTAAGCGTCATTACCTGCTGCAACAACAATTGGAATCCCCGCCATTTTAATAAGTCTTATTATAGTTCTTTCTACAACTGTTGGCTGTCTACTAGGGGTAAATCCCCCCAGAGACATGTTGATGACCGATTTAGCTTTGCTGTCCTTTGCTTTTCTCTGGCTATGATCCTCTTCTATCCATTCCAATGCTTCAATAAGGTCGTCGGACTGGAAACGAAATTCATGTTCTCCTCTCCAAGGATTCCATACTTTTGTGTCGGCTTTGACAGACACTATGGTTGCATTTTTAGCCACGCCATACGTTTTCCCGCCAATCGTTCCTGCTACGTGTGTCCCGTGTGTTTGCTCAGGGTCTTGTAAAAGATTTACGGGGAAGTTCGTAGTTTCATCAACTGCATTGTAACCAAATCGAGCACGGTCCTCAAAGTCTGGGTGTCTAACGTCAACTACACTGTCGATAACATATGCGTAAACCTCACTGCCTGCGATATTGTCGTATTCATAGAACATTTCTTCAGCTATATTCAGTTTTTGTCTCTGAGATATCCTTGCCAGGCCCCAAATGTCCCCCTGAGCGTTGTTGTCAACGCGCTGTTTTATTACTCCCAAATTGGTCGCATCATCCAATATATAACGGTTAGGCCAAACGTCTTGAACTGAACTATGTGCCCGGATGGCCGAAATCGCACTCTGGGTCGTGTTGAGGGCCACGCCCACGAAGTCGAAGATTGTGTAATTATGGAAGATGACCACCCTTGGATCCTCGGACAACGCAAAGTTGATCAGAGTTAAGATGGCGGCATCAGGGTCAGACTCTGCAACCGATGGTTTGAGTTCGACGATATATTCGTTGTCCTCTATTCCCGTTTGATTCACGACAGGCTGTCCACAAACAAAAGGCACACTGAGGATCATAAAATAGATGAATGAAAAGGCGTCCATATTGGTGCCTAAAGTTGCAAGTATTAACTTAAAAGACACCACGCCTCGACTGTTCCAAGTACTACTTTCGCTTTGCAGTTTAAGTGGAATTAATCAGCCTACCTGTTGAATCACCTCTTCCGGAGGGAGCTATTTGTTAGACCTCAAGTCAATGAAAATTCAGGTCACAAACGATATTGCTGAAAAGGTTCACTAGCTGTGTAATTTCAATAGAATGTATAGTTTTTATGTCAATAACTTGAGAAGTACACAGCAAGGAAAGGGAGCTTGATTAAATTTCGACAGGCAAAGTATAAATTTCATTTCTAGACTATTTACAAAAAACACTTCCACAGTTCTGCGGGTGCTCACGATAAATTTATACAAGGTTTACCGATCAGTCAGACTAAAAGAATTTTGCCAAGCTAAGTTCACATCGTCATCAAATAACAACATTTTAGTTCAAATTTTATTTAGACCTGCAAATCTATATAACATTCAAGTCAACAGCTGAGATTTCACCCTAACCTTAAGGTAGTCACAAAGAATGATGCGGGTCATTTGAGCGTTCCGAGAGAGGAGAGTCATGCTCAGGCTGTATTTTTAAGTTGTAAATAAATTTAAGTTGAAATAAACACCTTTTTAGCGTTTCCGTTGCCAGGGCGGGTTCGAACAACCTGCCTTTTTGCCGGGAAAGTTCTCGGGGTTTCTAAAATTATACAACTGCGAAACTAAAAGGAATCTCTCTTACATAAATTGAATAAAGAAATCAAGAAGTTTACATAGCTCATCAAAAGTGGCAAGTGTATAGCAGTTTTTAATGAATGATGTCAAATATAATACTACAGATTTCAATTGAGCAAACGAAATAAAGTAAAAGTAATACTAACGAGAAAACTAATGAAGACGCCCTTCATTGGGCTGGTTGAATGTTGTAAATGTAATCTCAGCTGCACATTAGTAGCACATCTAACGCAATGCCGTATTATATTGTAGTCAGTGGTCTTGTGATAACTTGCTGCAGAGTGAGCGACTTCAGAATCTTGCTATATACACGGATAAGTTATTATTTACAATAAAAACAAATGATAAATAGAAATCTAAATAGTGTGTAGGATTTCGCCATCTGGATTTGACTACCCTAGAAATTTGCTCTGTAGGGGGGAGGGGGTAATGAGGAGAGATGTAGGTGAATTTCGTTAGGAATCAGTTCTCAGATAACGGCATTTGGTTCAATATTTTAAATTTATATAATAAAAGCCACGTTAACATTAGTCATTGATGGGGGAAACATCAAATACATGTTAAATATCCGTTTTGTTGAGTATTTTGCACTCCCTGCTTCTTTGATTTAAGTATACAGTATAACTTGATTCTTGGATTTAATTTGAGTTCAATGTGAGAATAATTAGAGAAAATTCATTTTAGTAAAAAAAAAGCACAGTAAAGTTAAATGGAAACCAACCTATCCTTTGATTCCCCTCTTCCAAGAAGAGTTTGATTATTTGTTAGACCTCAAATCAGTGAAATAGCAGGCCATGGCATTGCTGATAAAGTTGAAACTAATGAAAACGCCCACCGTAGGGCTTGGTTGAATGTTGTAAATGTGATCCCAGTTGCACGTTAGAGGCACATCTAACGCAATGTCGTACTGCAATAAATGGTCTTGTGGTCTTCTTGCTGCCGAGTGACCGACTTCTATTTTCGCCAACTACACACAGATAAGAGTTATTTTCAATAAAAACAAATTGAAAAGAGACTTCTAAATAGTGTGTTGTGTTTTCCTGTCTGGGTTTTAGTACAGTGGCGGATTAAGGGGGTGTCAGGAGGTCCTAACCCCCACCCCCTTCGATTTTTTAAGAAAATCAGACCAATGGCCCCCTTTTGAAAATAGACTTTTGACTAACTGAATCATAGTTCTAAACTGCAGCAGAGAGCACCCTTCGCCCTCTAAAATACAATAATTTAAGGGGGTGGGGGTATAAGGGTCGGCTTCGAATCCACGACCTGTCATTCTAAAAAAAAGGCCCCTCCTTTCAAATAATCCTAGCTCCGCCCCTGAAGTATCTCGAAATTTGCTCTTCACTCGGGGGCGGGGGGGGGGGGGGGGGGGGGGGGAGGTATGGGCATAGGCGTCTGTGAATTTTGTTAGGCATCAGTTTCAAACACAAGGCCATTTTGTTCAATATTTTAAATAAAAAATGTCCGCGTAAACATTTGTCATTGAGGGGGCAAACATCAAATATATGCTAAATATCTGTTTTGTGGAGTATTTGGAGCTCCCTCATCGCTCTCATCGCTTTTAGTGCAAAACTTGATTTTTTAGATTAATTTGAGAATAATTAGAAAGATTTCAATTTGAGTAATGTTCTTACACAGTACGCAGCTAACTGATTTTGGATATTTTTGTGCGGAGAATTTTTTAACTAAATGACTGCTCTGACCATAAGTTGACCGTTAGCCGGGTACAATTTCTTATTTATTTATTTATTTATTTATTTATTTATTTATTTATTTACGCCCTTTCATATTTGCACGGTGATTTCAATTGAAATTAAGAGCTGTGACAATGTTTTCTTTACTCTAGATACATTCAGAAGAACAGAATCTATTTCCTTTTGGTTTTATTACCTAATCATTCATCAAAGAAAGCGTAGTCATAGGTATTTCAATTGAAAGAACTGTTTCCTAAAACCAAACTATCACTGACCTCTAAAACTAAATAAGCTGCTTAACTATCCTGTTTCGGTCGTCAAAGGTATAATATGTGCGCTTTAAAATGTCCTTAATTCTTATTTAAATATACAGTATAGTTATTCTACATAACTACTTATTTTTCCTCTTCAGTCCGTGAAAAAATAAAACAAAAATTAATGTACCTGATGAAAATCTCTGAATCGTCAGAAAGACATGGCGGTCTTAATGAGTCATGATTTGATTAGTTGAGAACTAAACTACTTTTAAGTAGGCTTTTAAAATTAGAAGTGGTACGCCTATACAACATCAACATTCAACGAGCCAAGCAATGATGATAATAGCAGGAAATTGTTTTTCAATCGACGAAGATTATATTTTGCCCAATGTTGCGTACAGGATACTTTGATGCAGTTGGGTTCTTACAATTGTAGAAATTATAAAATAAATGACGATTAACCTAACAATTTCTTAGAAAATCTAACAACTATTAACATGCATGTAGTCTAGTAATCTGCTTCTTTTGAAACAGCGAAATCAAATACAAAGGAGGCCGAGCCAGCAATGATCAGAAAAAGGGTAAAGGCAGAAATCCCTTTGATCTGACTCGAAGCCGAGGTGGAATGCCCGTTGATTAACATCTGATTCGGCGACATGAAGAGCAGACGATTTGGAGTACCGACGGCCGTAGGACGGAGTGTGACGGCATCCTTGGTCGATTTCTCAATGAGCCATTGTTTGATCTTTTCTGGAGTCGGGGGCGTGTCATGAAGCGCTAGGAAGCGCGCGACGACGCCGCTGACGTGTGGGGCGCTCATAGACGTACCGCTTTTTTTCCCAGCTCCGTTGTTAGGCAGCGTAGACAGAGTCTGGTAACCTGGTGCTATGATATCAACACAGTTGCCGTGATTGGAAAATGTACACAGTCGATCGTCATAGTCCGAGCATCCGACAGTTATGGCGTCAGCAACACGAGCGGGGGTTTGATTGCAAGCATGGTAAGCGGCATTACCCGCTGAAACAACAATTGGAATCCCCGCCTTTTTAATAAGTTTTATTATAGTCTTTTCTACAACGGTTGGCTTACTACCATTGGCAAATCCCCCGAGAGACATGTTGATGACTGATTTAGCTTTGCTGTCCTTTGCTTTTCTCTGACTATGATCCTCTTCTATCCATTCCAATGCTTCAATAAGGTCGTCGGACTGGAAACGAAATTCATGTTCTCCTCTCCCACTATTCCCTACTTTTGTGTCGGCTTTAACAGACACTATGGTTGCTTTTTTAGCCACGCCATGCGTTTTACCGCCAATCGTTCCTGCTACGTGTGTCCCGTGTGTTTGCTTGGGGTCTTGTAAAAGATTTACGGGGAAGTTCGTAGTTTCATCAACTGCATTGTACCCAAACTGGGCCCGCCCTTCAAAGTCTGGGTGTCTAACGTCAACTACACTGTCGATCACATAAGCGTAAACCTCACTGCCTGCGATATTGTCGTATTCATAGAACATTTCTTCAGCCAGATTCAGTTTTTGTCTCTGAGATATTCTGGCCAGGCCCCAAATGTCCCCCTCAGCATTGTTGTCAACGCGCTGTTTTTTAACCTCCAGATAGGCGGCATCATTCAATACATAACGGTTAGGCCAAACGTCTTGAACTGAACTATGTGCCCGGATGGCCGAAATGGCTCTCTGGGTCGTGTTGAGGGCCACGCCCACGAAGTCAAAGATGCTGTAATTATGGAAGATGACCACCCTTGGATCCTCGGACAACGCAAAGTTGATCAGAGTTAAGATGGCGGCATCAGGATCAGACTCTGCAACCCATGGTTTGAGTTCGACGATATATTCGTTGTCCTCAATTCCCGTTTGATTCACGACAGGCTGCCCGCGAACAAAAAACACACTGAGGGTCATATAATAGATGAACGAAAAGCCGGCCATATTGGTGCCTAAAGTTGCTAGTATTAACTTAAAAGACACAACGCTTCGACTGTTTCAAGTACTACTTTCGCTTTGCAGTTTATGTGGAATTTATAAGCCTAACTGTTGAATCACCTCTTCCGGGAAGATTTATTTGTCAAGTCAATGAAAATTCAGGTCACGAACAATATTGCTGAAAAGGTTCGCTAGCTGTGTAATTTCAAAAGAATGGCTGCGGTTCTGCGGGTGCGCACGATACCAACGTGCAAGGGTTACCGATCAGTCAGATGACCTTATAATACAACAGACTCAGCGAATTAAGCTGCTCTGAATTAACATCATCCATTATAATCTGGGCCTGTTTAGAGGATTAAAAAATTTATAATGCTTTTTTCCATTTTACGATTATGGGCATAATTATATCCCCCCCCCCCCGTATAAAAAAAATATAATATTTTTAATTATACATATAGTTTTTAGCGTCAAATTTTTATTCAGAAACGAAGAAAAATAATAATTGTCTTTTTCGTGATACAATTACAGGCACTAGTATACACGCACAGACACAATGGATGGTGTTTATCAGACCTTTTATTTAGAGTATAGGGAATAAATTCTTCAGCAGTAGGAGAAAATATGAATTCTCAAAATGAATAAGTACAGCCAAATGCGAAAATGGGAATTATTTTATAACAAGGGTGGTCTATCAAAACCCTTTAAGCCACCATGGCCCGGAATAGTTAATAATACAAACCTGAAATACATTTATTAGCACGTATTAATACAGAACTGTAATTACAATCAACATGAAATAACGTATATAGTTATTTTAAGACCGTGTAATATAGAAACGAGGTTTTCTGAGAAAATATGAATATAAAAAATAGAATGATACAAAATCTTGGTCTCCAAGTTTATGGATAATAAACGAAGACGACCAAAGTACTAACATTCGGGCCAAATAAGATTTACTTTAGCTTAAATAACACATTCCATTAAATCCCAATGCGCGTTACAAAACTTATTAATATTTAAAACAAGGATGGCACCGACATTTAAAATACAAGTAATGCATGGCAAAGCCTATTGCGATTAAAGAAAACAAACAAACAAAAAACTACTAATACAAATGTCATGGAAAAATTTGTATCCACACATTAGATCAACCTTTCTCCAAGCTTATATCTATGGACACAGGCCCGTAGCTAGCAATTTCAAAGGGGGGGGTTTCTTTTTCTGAAAAAGTGGACCTTTTACCATATAATCCCCATGTACCTAGGTCAAATTTTACCCGGGGTGGACCTTTTTCCAGCAAAAAGGGGGGTTCTTTCGAACCCCCCCTGGCTACGGGCCTGGGACACCACCTGGTGGAAAGTCTTAAGAGGCAGACCACATTCTGGCTGTTCAAACACCCACGTGAATGACGTGTGTCGTCTACCAAATAAAACACTAAGAATGGCGAGATGGAAGCTACTCTGATCTGAGCATGCCCCTGCTACCGTTTCCCTCTACCAGGGTGGCAGATTATATAGGGAAAAACGGAAAAATCCAGAGCCAAAATGACTGTCTATTTATCTAGAGACATAGCTGTAAATATCTGTGAAAAATCAATCTGTCGCCCTGGTGGAGGGTAGCTACCGCTCCCATTCCGCAAAAGGATGATCATGATGACACTATTACTTATAATAAAATTAATAATTGTAGTTATTTAATATTTATATATATAATTATATATCCACCTCATCATAGTTCGGCAACCGTCATAACCAGTAAACTCAGTATTGGCAGGAAAACATCAAGCCTCCCTCTGTGTGTGTGTGTGTGTCTGTGTGTGTGTGAAGGCCCCTTGGGATTTGTTGTAGATTTTATGTACAAAGGGTATTCCAAGTACCTAAATGTATAATTTATTTATCAGCAGAACCGTATAATTGTACATTTGTATGCTTTTGATTGTGCATTTCTCTTTATTGTTTATGTTGCCACGCATTCACATAAATAAACTACTCATACACAGACTTGATGGATTTGGTTTCATCCCCAATACATAACCAGTATTACACCAGTATGAGCTGTTATCAGCCAACGTGCTTTCCTCAAACTTCTGTACAGAACAATATTTTTAGACTGTATTTATTAAAATTCATACAGCAGGCCCGTAGCCAGCAATTTCTAAAGGGGGTTCTTTTTCTGAAAAAGTGGACCTTTTACCATGAAACGTTCATGTACCTAGAAAAAATTTTACCCAGAAAAAGGGGGGGTTCTTTCTTCTAAAAATAATCACATTATAAAATGTCACACAACCTTTTAATACTATATATCAAAACATTGCACTACAACTAGAAAAAAATACACAGACACATCCCTGAAAAAATAAAACGCTTTCAAAATAGTGTGTGTACAAAAGTACAATCTAAATTAGTTAATGACTATGAAGCGTCTTTTTGGTTATGACTACTTTTACATGAGGTATCAAAGGCAAACAATAGGGGGAAAAGGGGGCTGCTGAGCTCTACCCTTCCTAACACCAAATAGGTACAATTATTGCCTCATTTTACTGGACTACAGCTAATTTAATTTGGGTCAAAGTCAAAGTAAACCATTATTTCGACCTGAAAGTGAGGACCAATTTTCAGAACTTATTTCGTGAAGCAGTATCCGGAGAAATTTTTTCGGCAAAAAACAAAACAAAACAAAACAAAAAAAAAATCCTGCCTCCTAGGATCCTAAAAACTAGCAGATGGTACAAAAATTGCTCTTGAATTCAAGATTAATTATCAACTGAGTTTTAAAATGCAGTATAGCCAGGGGCAGATCTAGAGATATTTCTTTTTTTTTTATTATTAAACATATACAAACACAATACAGCACATTACAAAGAAGACAAACATACGAGAACATGCAATACATCACAGAATCAGAAAGCACATTTCAGTACAAATACAAAACAATACACTACATCAGTAGTTCTAGCTTAATACAATATATACACTTTTATGGGTGCACAGTCACTGAAATTTTATTTTAATATTGTAGAACGTATAATACAATATACAAAATTCTTCAGTACATTACAGAGTACATTATAAACTGAACAATACGTCAACAAAGCAAGGTGATACTGTGCACCACTATAAGAACTAGAGATATAATAGATTGTGTCTTAATGTAATATAGTGTATATGCACATTCGTACACACAATTTTTCACATACAGCCTCACACATCCGAAGGCGCACGCACACTGTAGTGCACACAAATACTTATAATACAGATGCTCAGTCACTGAAATACTGATCTTATTTTGAGCAAGAAATAAAAATACATATTATAAACAGTTTTGTTTTGTTATTCCGCTAATATCTTATCAATATTTAGCCAAATCTGTTGTATGTTAGTTCGTTTCGCTTGAGGATACATGTATAATGAGAACCTGGTAATATTTCCATAGCATCTGACATATTGTATTAACCCTACCCAAGGGGGGGGGGTCGGATCTGGACCTGCATATGCTTATGTATTTCTTAGTTATCAATGTAAGTAAATACAGGCCTTCTATCTTGAATTGTTGTACAAGACCAAATAAGAACACTTTGGGATGCCTCTCTATATTCATCTTCATACTTTCCCTTAAAGCATTAATAAGGCAAGTCCAGATATTTTGTACGTATGGACATTCCCAAAATACATGATATATTGTCTCTTTGGCAATATTACAAAACTCGCACAGCTGAGATTCTTTTTTCTTTATTTTCATTAAGTACGAATTTGTGCTGAAAATTCTATGATTAATTCTAAATTGCAATGTTTGTAATTTTGTGTCATCTATCTCGGTAAAAACCGATCTAAATATCAAATGCCATTTCTCTTCGTCTAAAATTTCCCCAATATCTGTGTGCCATTTGTTTATTGCTTTTCTAGGGATTTTTTCAAGTTCTTGGATGTATTTTTGGTAAAAGTATCTGGATGGCTTTGGGACACTCTTCATTGCATTGCTGTTCTTAATGCAGATGCTTTCTAAACGTTTACCATTATTCAAAATGGCCTTTCGCCACTGGACCGGAATAATACTTTGGATACTCATGTAGTTGAGGAAATTGCTATAAATAAATTGCTAGGAAATAGAATGAAACGATATCTCAATAAGTTAATAAGTAGCACACAAACAGGGTTCGTAAAAGGGAGATTTATTGGTGAATGCACAAGGTTGATTTTCGACCTTATTGAAAAAACTGAAAACGTTCAAATACCCGGTCTCCTCCTCCTACTAGACTATGAAAAAGCTTTTGATACTTTGGAATGGAATTTCATACATGCCACTTTAGTATTTTACAATTTCGGCCCAACAATAATAAATTGGGTTAAAACTCTATACTCTGAAATTTCGTCGTCAATTCAAAATAATGGACATCTTTCTGATTTCTTTATGGTCAGGCGGGGTGTGAGACAGGGCGACCCTCTTTCCCCATACTTATTTATTTTATGTATTGAATTACTTTCAGCAGCAATTAAAAAAGACCCCGAAATAAATGGAATAGAAATTGATAACGTCGAGTACCTGATTACTTCATACGCAGATGACACGACGCTAACTCTCTCGGACGACCAATTGAGCCTGCAAAAAACACTCGCGGTAATTAAACTTTTTTCCGAATGCTCTGGCCTAAAAATTAACTTTGACAAGACCGAAGCAGTTTGGATCGGAAGCAAACGAGGGTGCTATGAAGAAATACAAACTGCGGAGAACATCAAGTGGAATCATGAGGGAAACTTTAAACTGCTTGGCATAAAGTATGAACTTAATAAACCTAACTATTATGATGTAAACTTTGAGGAAAAGATTAATAAGGTGAAAAAATTAATGTTGGACTGGTCGTTGAGAAATTTATCTTTAATGGGAAAAGTAACAATAGTAAAAACATTAGCCTTCCCAATACTGGTACAAATTCTGACAGTGTTGCCAAATCCCTCCGAAATAATTTTCAAAACATTGGATCAATGATTTTTAATTTTATATGGAATAGTAAAATTGACAAAATTAAACGGACAACACTGATATCAGACTATAGTAAAGGAGGTCTCAGGGTGCCACAAATTAAATTGTTTGCTAAATCACTAAAATTGTCCTGGATAAAGAGATTTCTCGACACAAAAAACAAGAGTAGCTGGAAAAATATACTCGCAAACGAACTCAAAGAATATGGAAAAGAAAATTTTTGGAACCTAACAAGTGAGGGCTTAAGGTCAATAAAAATGAATAACAGTTTTTGGCAAGACGTGATTGACTTTTGGGCAGAAATACAGAATAACCCTAGTACAACTGTTGAAGAAATCCTCTCACAACCGATATGGAAAAACGACAAGATAAAAATTAACCATAGAGCTACATGTTATAAAAAATGGCTGCGAAACGGAGTTTTCTTCATAAATGATATTATTGATAACCATGGTAGATTCATATCACTAGACGAGCTTAATAGAAAATGTGAACTAAATCTAGAGATATTTCAATTCTCCACTATTGACCATCTTCCGACAGAAAATCAGATACCTGTCAATGTAAACCTAGAAAATTCTCACAGTTTTCTGGAAGTCCCAGAAGACTGCTTCCATCCGCCCCTGTGCAACAATTTTAGCTCAAGGCAGGCCATCAACTACAAGTATCGCAAAGAGCAGTCTGGTCTTTTTTGAACGTCCTACATGAACACGCTCTTCTGTGGCTTGTTTTTCTGCCAGCGCAACTGAACAAATCCGCATCAGCTTGGAAGAAGCAGGTCCAGTGGTCCTCTGTCTCTTTAATGACCGAGGGGTGGACAATGTCCGAGATGAATTTATTAATGTCGCATGTTATCTTCATCTGATGTAGAAAAGTTTCACTGTTCATAGCTGGGAAATGTGTATTCTCGCATATAAATCCTGGAATAAATTGAAAATATGTTCAAGAGATAGAAAGTAAAATTCTTTTCAAAAAATCTAATGAAATATTTCCTCTGATAAATTTTTTTTTCAGTTTACTAACTATGTTACATTCACCATGTATCATCAATTATGTAACAATTTCTCAGCAAGTACTTAAGTCAATATTGAAAATTTTGAAGAAATATTCAGGTTAAGCTACCTAGAAAGTGTTTATTTTTTCTGATAAGGTTCTTCTTAATCACAAGAATAAATACTGACTCAATATTGAGTGCTGAATATCAGCTGGCGAGACTGTCCCTGCATATGCAGATTGTTACCCCTGTTAAAATCCGTTATCAGAAAAGAAGACTCCAGTTTGCTGGGCACTGTGCCTGCACATTAGACCAAATTGTTTCCAAGGTAACATATTTGGACAGACCACATGTACAGTAAACTTCTCATTCACATTTGTACTGGTCTGCAACTAAATGGAATCCTTGGAATTTTTAATAGCAAATCAGAAACAATTTTGGACTACGCATGTTGCAGCTACTTGTGCCATTCCACCCAAGAGTGAATAATGATGATGATGATGATTGTCGGGAAAAGGTCCCCTATGGGTAAAATTTTATTTAGGTACATGAAGGTTTCATGCTTAAAGGTCCAGGTTTTCAGAAAAAGAACCCCTCTTTTTCAAATTGCTGGCTACAGGCCTGAACTGTCTTCAAATTAAATGGTAATAAAGACAATTTTAACCCCATTTTCTACACCCACTTACCCCATTCTCTGTAAGCACTTACCCTGATCCCTACAAACTTCATTGCACGACTTTCCTGGCTCTCCTAACACATAGTGAATGGCGGAGTCTGGAATGTGGCTTTTTCTCGGGACAGAGCACAAGTCCTGGTTCTCCACGTAATAGTTCATTCTCTCTATCATCCCTGCTTCTGTGAATTCATAGGGCAAATATCCCAAAGTCTTGAAGAAAAAATAAACATGAAGATAATGGTTTTAATAAAGCTCATACACATAACTTTACATGATGAAGATACATATTTTTATTTTTTTTAAGGGCAAATTTAATATTAAGGAGGCACTGGGCAAACACATATGATAAAGGCATTAGACCATTCAACTTCACCAATGAAATGTTTTCATAATTTTAAAATTTAGCAGCTGTTAGATCTTAAACTGTTACCAACCTCAGTTGTGGCTAATATCTTCTCCACAGTTTTTCTCAAAATTGTTTGGTTGCTTATATCAATTGTATAGGCATATGGTTCCCCAATAAAATGCTCAATATAAGGATGCTGACTTGTAATCTGCAATTAAGTAATAAAACCTGTTAAATCTCATAGCTGTTGATTAAATAATATAATAATTTTGCTCATTAAAATATTACATAATAAATAAAGAATGAACAAGTAGAGAAAGATTTCATGCAGACCTCTCTGTTTGTTGGTTTTTCCTTATAAAAACGGTTATTTTTGCGGCTGTGTGGGGGGTCAAATCTGGGGTTGATGAAGACGCAGCCAGCTGCAATGGCCTCCAGTGGCGCGGGACCCTCATAGGGGAAGCCCATACCTATAAATACCTAGAACACAGAATAATGATAATAATAAACCAGGTACCAGTTTTAAAAAAAAAAAAAAAAAAAAAAAAAAAAAAAAAAAAAAAAAAAAAAAAGACCCAGGTTTCACACTAATCTTAAGTCCGTTTCCTGGCTTAGTTGAGTAGGATTTCCAGTGCTGTGACACTGTTCCTGATAGGGTAAGATGTGTGCACGTGTCCATAAGAGTGTTGTGACACTGTCCCTGATAGGGTAAGATGTGTCCACGTGACCATGTAACCTTGGCAATTAAGTTCTTAGCTAGCAGGGAACCTTTTGTGAAATAATATAACTATTTTTAAAGGTGCCCCATACACACACACCTTCATGCTTCTTGTACTGCCACAAAACTGGACAGTGAAACAGGCAGCACGGGAAAAAGATCAGTATTCACCTTTGTGAAGCAAAAATATTTAGAAGAATTGAGATGAAACTGGACATCCTTATGGTGCTTCCAAGAAAGTGTCAATGCAAGTGTGTGTTTGTGTGTGCGCATATGTTCGTGCTTCCTCAGCACACAACAACAAAGTGTTGATGCTAGTCCGTCACTATGTTTAATACATTGATGCAAGCACTAAATATTTTAGTACATGCAAAACAAGCAGAACAACTTCTCTCACCTTGGACTGATAAAGTAACTGGGTATACTCAGCGTTTTGGAGCACGCCATGATTTTGTACGTAATCGGGAACCTTCCCCTCATCCTCTTTGGGTATTAGAACCGAGGGACTGCTGGTCCCGTGTAATGTGAAGTACTCCTTCAAGATATCCAGGTATGGCTCCTTCCCCTGGAAAAACACACACTGGATGATAAAACTACAGAATCAGAGAGGCGATGCTACCTATCCAGTAAGTGCCACCAGCTGAAACTAAGGGTCATTATTAAACGGAAATAATGCCAATTACATGATTGTAATCACAAAAAACAGGAAAACAGATATAATGACAGAAATCAAGAAACAAACGATGATACACTTCGCTCCACACTCTCTGTCACATATACATTCACAAACATACGTACACATACACACACATACACAAAAACAGGAGAACTGCAAGAAAGACACTCACACACACAGATAAACGGGCAGACACATACACCGTCACACACACATGGGCAGACAAACAGGCACGCACACAAGCACACACACACACACAGACAGATGAACAGAAAGACGGACACACACAGGTAGACAGACAGACATACTAATCTTACCTTAAACATGTAATGCTGCTTGGCATATATCAGGCCCTGTTTGGGGTGCCTGGCCACACTGAGGCTGTCGTTCATCTCTGGTTTCTCAATTACAAAACCCATGAAGGAGTTGTCTGGTGTGTGGGCTGAAACCAAGTCATCACACTATGGGTGCATTCCCATAGATTTTAGATCGATCTATCCCTGTGGGAGTCTCACTAGATTACTGTCAGATAATCCAGCTTAAATGTCCGTCCCGCCTACTACAAGCTGTAAGGGGATAATTAACTTCCGTGCCCGCTCGGCTGACAGCTATTAAGCATGAACCCCCAGGGAGTTAGGTCGATCTATTTTGATCTAATCTCTGGGAATGGGGTCCAAGTCATCACATTAGGAGTTAAAAGTTGAGACAACACATGCCCATACATGTACTAGTATGTTTGGTGAGCCCAAAGTACTGTATTTATTGCAGTTTAAAAAATTAGATGAATTCAAAGTAGTTATCATCTTTGGTGGCTTTATTTTAGCTGAAAAAGGGCATCAAAGATAGATTGTACTTTTGAGTAATAATAATTTAGTTATTTTATGATAATGAAGTTAGAATTTACAGATATCAAAAAATGTTTATTATACCAAGCAGATTAGTGAAAAATTTAGAATGTTGATCTTCTCAGAAGACTAGAGCAGAATAAACTTACGAAACATTGTGAAGTATTGCTGCAGTTCCAAGTTGTTGCAGGACCAGAAGCAGACTCTGGCAGGGTTTTCCTGTCTGTGGTGAGCCAGTGCGTAAGTCAAGGAGTTGAAATCTGCCTCTGTGCCAAACGAGTCCAACACACGGAAGAGACACCTATCAAATAATGACGAACAGTGCACTTTTTTTTTTTACTTTTCTTGGATAATGTTTATTTTGCATCAGGAACCAAATTAAAAAAAAATTTCTGCACTATGTATGTAGGCAGTTTAAAAGAAACATAAAATAGTCTTTGATACCGTTAATTGCAAAGAAATATATTCATTTTTATAGCTTCATCATTTCACACAACCAATATTTCATCTCTTGACTGTGCTTTAAATAACAATGCTATAGCAATTTTTATCCTGTCGTAAAAGACTTTAATATTATCTTTTACAGTATTCTTCTTTGTTGAACAGGCAAAAAAAAATATGTTACGTAGAAAAATTAACAACTTACCTAGATGGGCCTAGGCTTGTGTCTTGGAGGTATTGTTCTTTAAACAGCTTGATGCCGTAAATATCAGTATAAATGAGGTCAAAGGGCACTTTCTTTTTTCTCCATGTAGACTTTTGGAGAGTGTCATGATAATTGGTCAGCAGACTACAAATAAAATAATAATTGTGACTTTCTGTTGCTGCAATTTAAAATTGTGTGTGTGTGTGTGTGTGTGTGAGGTGGGAATCTTAACAATTAGATGTTTACATGAGAAGCAGAGTACTTCTCAACCAGATATTGACATCAGTGACATCTGTGTACATGACAGTCCACTGTTACAGCAGAGCATGCTAAACACCAGTCGTGTCAATATCCACTCTCACTGACCCCTAAGTGATCAAAGTGCACAGAAAATGACACATAGATGACTAGAAATTATCGTTCAGTAAATTTTTAGGTCCAAAGAAGTGACATTCTCTTTAACACTGCAGACAGACAGACGTTCGTCATACTGATAAACCAGGAGCAATGTGTGTGTGTGCGTGCCCACGAATGTGTGTTCAAGTCTCCCATATTTATGTTTGTGTGTCCCCCAATCAGGTGTGTGTGTCCTCAAACATTGTGCGTGTGTATGTTTGTGTGTGCATGCGTTTACGTGTAATTACCACTTACTACTCAATCTGACTTTTCTCTGTGGTGAAGGTGACATCATGCCCCAGGATATATAAAGTTGTCATCAGATCACTCCACTGTACAAGCTCCCCCAGTGGACCACCTGAAAACAAATCGAGGGGGAGGGAGGGTGTTAACCCTGTTTCTCAAACATAAACAATTGCTTGATCACATTTTCAAAAACAGCATCATGTGAGAGGATGGTTAATTTTGTGCACGACTGAAAAATACGAGGAAATGATGATCTAAATTGAAAATTGCTGACTTAAATTTATGAAAAGTAAATAGTGACAGAAAGTAGCTTTGGGTTTTGTGATCACAGAATTAAAATAATACTAACAGAATATTGCCCCCATTCAGTTATTGTGCTAATTGACTGTATTCATTAAAAAAAAACACATGCTACTCACCAAGAAAGGCCTTTTCATCCAATCTTATTCCCTGAGCTAGAGTTCCAAAGTGCAGGAGAATCTGTAGAAAAATTTACAGTATATAGCATCAATTAATCAATTTTTTTTCAAAAGTAGGGGGTTACTGCATTTTTAATACAACTTAACATAACAATTATCAATAACAGTGCACAAATCACCTTTTTGCTCTTTCTTCCACGTTTAATCTTCCCAGAATCCCTCAGTTCAATGGCTGCTTTCCTCCACTTTGGCCACATGCGTGTTATTCTTTGCCTCATCCAATCAAACTGCTTGCCAGGGCAGGGGTGAACGAGCTGGACCAGGAGACCCATGATATCTAGCCGTACCTCAGCCTGGAAAAACATCGAAATTAAGAAATAATTATCGGAATAATTAATGGTTATTGTTATAGTATTGATATTTTTGGAGATATTTGAGTACGTTCTCTCTGTATGTATTTCAAATAATGCACTGTCACCCTTTCTCAATATATGCGCCTTGAACACCTCTCATTGAGGCTAAAGGTGTTCTTGCATACAATGTCAGCGTATCATCTCACACTTAACTAGACTATATGGATGATTTATTAATTATTACGAGAATTCAGTATTCTTGGTGGAGGTCTGCAAAATTAAACATCTCTTCAAGAACTAAAATATATGTCATTAATTGGTATCCTGCATTTTTTAAAATATTTTCCCCTCCATAAACAAAGAGGGCCTGGAGCTAGCCCGCTGTACCAAAAAAAAAAAAAAAAAAAAAA